TATTCTAAGTTGCTCAAGATGTTGTACTTGCCTATCCATCTAAGACAAATTCTGTCCATCGGTTCAGACAGTTGAGAAATGACAATACAATTTTCCTTTTTTTCTTTTTCTTTTTATTTCTTATTGGTATACCTCGATCATCACCTAAGATGCCTGGATACGAGTATGACACTGGGGATATGATTCAGGTCATTTCGAAAAATCTAGAAAATGGTCACAGATAAAAGGGTCCTCTTAAGCACTCTGTATGATTAGAAATATATACATCCGACACATTGATACATATATCATAATCATTATCATCCAAGCCTTATCCCAATGATTTGGGGTTGGCTACATGAATTTCGCTCCTCCATTCTTCTCTAGCAAAGGCTATACCCTCAGTAAGACCAAAAGTCACAATATCTTTTTTCACTACTTCTATCCATGACCTTTTAGGCCCTCCCATTACCTTTTTAGAACTTATTACTTAATCCAAATCGTACCTCCTAACTAGTGTTGTATTAGGGTCTACGTTGCACATGGTCAGCCCACCTAAATCGACTTTCTCTGATCTTATAGCTTATTGAAGCACAACTAAGTTCCCTCGTATATATTCATTCTGAATTCTATCCTTTCTTGTCTTGCTACTCATCATCTCAACATCCTCATCTCATATATGCTCATCTTATGGAGATGTTGTTTCTTAACTGTCCAACATTCCATCCCATAAAGCATGGCTAGTCTTGACTGCCAACATCCCTCCGCCCCATAAAGTATATATACCATATTATAATCATCTTACTATATTTTATTCATATTATATTGTTAACTATGCTATGCTATTTTATATTTACAAATACTCTAGCAGCATCGGCTGTCAGTATTGGTGGTGACACAATATGACACTGGAACATCAAGCACAATCAAGTGCATCTGCATCATAGCTCACAAACCTCTAAATGCATACAAAACCTGGGAAAGTTGCAAGAGCATTTCCAGCAGATGGGATTCATCAATATTTTGAATTGTTATGTATGAGCAAGGGAAGACCAATCAAGTTGTACTTTCTTCCTTTTTTTTTCTTTTTTTTTACTAGATCTTTGATGAGGAAAGTAGCGCTTAAAAACTCAAAGATTGGTGACCGATCATGGCTGGAAACAGGTCTAAGTCACAGAGTTCAACAGAGAACTCAGGGAAATTTAGTGAGGTTTTCAATTTTTCATGCAAAGGTTTCTTCAAAAATCATCCCTCATTTATGAGAATCAAACCCAGCTTGTGGTAATTTGAAAACGAGGAGTTCAAAGATCTCATATTACAAAGAAGAGAGGTATTGGGGTTCGATCTAAACAATGGCCATTTTTTGAGGGTAACTTCGATTTTTTATTTTTTTATAAGAGAAATGATCCTATAGGACCCTGCCCTACCCATGTGTGTAGGACCCCAAAGGATCACAATTAAATTTGACACGGATCTATAGAAAAGTCAAGTCCCACACCCATGTAATAACATTTCTAGAGATCCATGCCAACTTTAATGGTGATCATTTGGGGTCCTACACACATGGGTGGGAGAGGGTCCTATAGGATCATTACTCTTTTTATAATTATAAAAAAAGAAAATCATGAGGGTAGTTTTGAATTCTGAATGAGCGGATTACAAATGATACAAGAAGCACATACATCATTACTAGTTGGGCTTTTTTGACATCCTTAAGACTTCGACAAAAATCCAGAAGGCACAAAAAAACTTATGTCACTAGATTATTACAAATATGTGTTATAGCATATGCATACACAACAACAAATATCGGGACTCAACACAACCCTTAAAAATCCATATCAACCATGGGAGAACATCTCGAGATATTCTCGTGGAGGGACTACTGGCCACAGAAAGGATTATCTAACCTCTTAAGAGGATTACATGACAAGAAAAAGGCAATGGTCATATCTCTGACGTTGAAGATTATGGTTATAAGTCGTGAGAGCCGATCCTATGCAAGAAGATTTAAGAGCTACAACAGAAGTTGCAGCACCGATGTTTTTTCCAGTTGTGTTAGAATGTTCTGGATTGGCGATAAATATTAGTAACAGATCCACTGCATTCAACCACAAACTTATGGGAACAAAATAATGTGCTATAATTAAAAGATATTCCTTCATAAAAAACACAATCCAATAAAAACAAAAAAAAATAAAAATTGAATTTATCTCTTTTTTTTTTTTAATTTGCATCATTCTCCTGAGGTTGGGAGAAGCTTGCCTTCGAGCTTGAAAATTCAAACTTGATTCACAAAGCCTTCATCACCATGCAAGATTATTTCTAGAACTTGATCTTCTTCTTGAACCTCATTCTCTTCCATAGACAAGTGTACTTCCATCTCCTTTTTTGGCCATTCATATGCACGGTATCCTGTTTCATTGCACCGATAACAAATAACTTTTTAAGTATCCTTTTTTCTTCATTAAATTTTGGTTGGCGTGCAAACTCCTTCTGAGTGTAAAGTTGCTTACGGTGCTCCATTGGTATTTGGTCTATTGTACAACCTTTTATCCTTCCATCGATTGCCGGTTGTTTCGAGTTACTAATCGATAAAATTCCCCAATATAACATCCACTTACTTTTCATTTGGCTAGAGATTTTAGAGTTCTTGAAAGAAAATTTGCTCATGATCCACAAAAAGAAAATTTTCTTTCAATTTCTTTAAAATTTTCTTTCAATTTCTTTGTCATCTTTTGCCAATTAGTAATTTTTGCCTTTCCACTATGAAATCGGGATTGTTGAACTTGCTCCCACCATGCCAAAGCATACCCGCATAACTTGGTCGCAACAAGTTTAACCTTACGCTCCTCTGGCAACTCACTCAATTCATAATAATTTTCGACTGCACACAACTTTCAATAAAAGCCTCCATGTGGAGCTTACCATGCAATTCAGGGAGATTGACTTTAATACCGAAATCTCGTAGACACTTTATAGGACAAGAATTTGGCCTGCAAATTTGCTCGTTACAGTTAGGATCGGTACCCTGAGTTGATCATGGGATTATTGGCGCAAGATCCCTGTGGTTGCGAGCACCTTCTGCGTGATAAACGTTGTTCTCCAACTGTTGCAACCACTTATTCATTTCACAAACTTCGCTTCAAACATCTTCCATGACCTTGGTTAGATTTCCTAAAATTTGTAGTCCCAAGATCCATGTGGTTGCGAGCACCTTCTTCACGACAAACGTTGTTCTCCAACTGTTGCAACCACTGAACTTTGCTTCGAACATCTTAAAATAGAATCAAAAGGGTTGAAAGATTATACCCTCTCTCAGGGTTTGCAAGGGAGTCCACCCCAAGATCTTTTCACAAGATCAAAGCACTTTCTCTATTGTCCAATCACCAAATTCACAATGAGGGACTTCCTTCCATTAAATACAAAATAAAAGAAATCATTATCATCATCATCAAGCCTTTTCCCAATTAATTAGGATTGGCTACACGAATTCTGGTACGCAATTATTCCCTATTAAGGGTCATACCCTTAGTGAGGTCATAAATCTCTATATCTTTTCAGACTTTTTCCCAACCACGTCCTTTTAGGCCTACCCTTTGCCCTTTTCGAGCCTTCTACTTGAACTAGCTCGCACCTCCTAACAGGTATTGTATTAGGTTTGCGTCACATATGACCAGCCCACCTAAGTCTACTCTCTCTCATCTTATCGCCTATTAGTGTCACATCTAAAATTTTCAAATGAATTCATTTTGAATTCTATCCCTTCTTGTCTTGCCACTCATCCATCTCAACATCCTCATATCTACTACACTCATTATATGGGTATTTTTTATCTGCCCCATAGAGCAAAGTTGGTCATACAACTGTCATATTGAACTTGCCTTCAGCTTCATTAGTATTCGATCACATAAAATTCCAGTTGCACATCTCCACTTTGCCCCATCTTTAATTCTATGGGTGACATCGTCCTCAATCTCTCCATATTGTCTTTTGATACACATAAAATTCGCTCTCTCTCCCTTCTTTTGTTTTTTTCCATGTAAATCTCTCTCTACCCTAAAATCCCTTGAACCAAGGAAACTTCCCCCCATCTTATCATTTATCTAAATAACTTCCTACCCGCTCATCTAAAAGGTAAAACTTCCTATCCTTAACAAACTTTGTAAAACCTGGAACGTAACTCTAATTAAAAGATAGTCCTTCCTATAAAAAACATAACCCAATAAAAACAACGAAATAAAATTTGAATCTCTCTTTTTTTTTGTAATTTGCATCAGCTTCATAAATATTCAACTCAGTGTTCTCTTTAACCACATGAGATTAATAGACACAGACATATATATAGATTAATCCCACATATCATACTCTTGTTTAATAACGTGATCTTTCTCATATTCAGCAGTCCAAGTTCAGAAATTATTTATTTTCATAACACATATTCCTCTTATATTTCTTACGCAGGGTGGGTGGGTTGAAAGGATGACAGAATGACACATAAAGAAGGCGTGCAATCACTCAAAGTAATAAATTCACGATGATCAATAAAGTACCAGAGTACAAAGCACTGAAGCCACAACTGGATAATAAGCAGAGCAATGCAATTCACCAAGTAATGAAGATACACATGAGCACTAAATTCATAATCACAGGAACAACCAGAAAAGTGAAAACCTAATTAAATCCATGCCTTCCAAAATGGATAAAACCCTACACCATTGCAAAATTCATGCATTTGAAAGTGGAAGAAAACAAGACCATTGCTATCTTTCATGCATTTCAGATGGAAGAAAACAAGTCATCCATCCCTAAACTCTTAAATCAAATCAAGCAAACAAGACAGTTGCAACTAATTAAATAGAGAAAAGACAATAATTACTAAAATCATACATTTCAAATTGGAGTAAAAAAGATATCCAAACTAAAGATCCACACTTTTCGAATTGAGGAAAACAAGCACAAGAACAAATGGTGCTTAAAACAGGGGAATCTGAACAAACCAACCTCCTTCTCCATGAAAATCATAGCCCAAGAGAGAGGCAATGTATCGTGGAAGCCCCCTTCGGTAGAGACAGAATAACTTGATACCAAACAACAGTGCCCCATAACAAACCAACCCCCTTATTCTCAACGTCCACCTCTGCACACAAAAGTTCAGTCTCCTTATTTCTCCCCAAACCCTCCCAAACCACATAAAGCTTCTCCCCAACATTCGCTAAACTTGCTCCGCACAAAAACTTCGGCAAACTCTTCTTCACACCCTGCAACTCCATCCATTTATCTTCCTCTGAATCGTACCCCCTTATCTTACCCAAAAAGTCATAACAAAAGAGAATCCCCTTTACTACCGCTGCTCTGCCTCTCCAACCTGTGTCCAACTCCATTGAAACAAAAGACCAAGAACCCAATTTCTCAGAATTCGAAGAACCATCAGAGGTTCCACCTCTTGGGTCGTCAACTACACCGCCTCGATCTGCCATGGCCAAGAGCTTCCCTTTCAAAACCGCATTTCCATGCATCCATTTCTCTCTCATCTCGATTGGGCTTGGAATTGGAGCCCAGTGACCCACCTTTTGATCGAAAACCTCAGCCCAAGAAGCAGATCGAGCCCATGTATCAGCTTGGCACCCACCCACTACATAAATCTTCTGGTTTATTGTACCAGCTGCCGCAAATTCTCTGGCAACTCTCATTCTGGGTCCATTTCTCCATGAATTCAAACAAGCATCATAAACCCAAGTGTTAGGTGATGGCAAATCATTAATGGAGCCACCCAATATATAGAGGCTCGAGCCCAATACAACACACGCTGAACCCATAGTGGGCGCAGGAGCTGGGGGCAAAGGACAAGTTTGTTTAAGGTGGTTGTAATGGCTTAGAACAAACCATTTGAAACAGGAATCATGGGTCCTAACCATAAAGTAGAGGAAGTGTTGTGCTGTTTTGAGAGAAGAGCGAGCCGATACGAAGAGCTCAGATCGAACAAGAGAGCGCCACGGCTTGCAGACCTGTGCTAGGGTTTGGTGGTAGACGCGAGGGACCCGGGCTATGCATTGGAGGCCAAGGTCATCAGGGAGGCCAGTGATTAGGGTTTTTGGGTCGTCTTCTTGTTCTTCTTCCATGATGGAGGCTTATGAGGTGGTAGAATTGGGAATTTGACTCTGGTGAGAGATGGATAAGGTTGGGGCGGACAGAAGGAGGGAGAGAGTGGGGTGAGGGTATAGGTGTTGGCTGAGGAAAAGTGAGAAAAATCAATGGCTTCCGGCGTTTAGAGTGGGAGAGGGGAAGGATTGGAATGATGTTGGGTTTGGGTGAAAGAATTAGGGGTTATTGGGAGAGAGAGAGAGAGAGAGAGAGAGTTGGAGGTCTCTGAGGAGTGGTGAGAAGTTGATGGGTTTAGAGAGAGAGAGAGAGTGACTTGAGGATTGAGGATGGAGCTCCACAACAGGGATGGGGATTTCAGCCTTTGAGGGGGTGATTACAATGAGAGAGTGCAAGATAAGAGATAGAATGAAGAGTGTGGAGCCCTCACACTGCCCTACGTTCTATCTACTTGTGATTGCTCAGTATTGTTTGTGGCCCTCCTACTTCCCACCCTCTGCTTTAATTCGACGGACCTATATTCTTTTAAAGCTTCTTACCTGCATGTTTATGCCTTCACATTGATTTCCTCTTTTGAGACACTTCTCTCGGGCAATGTTTGGTTGGACAATAGTTAATTTTAGGAAAATTTATGTAAATAATTACGAGAGATGAGTGATTTAATATTTTATTTTATTTTTTAAAAAAGTATTTTGTTTGTGTGTTTGTGTTTTTTTCCTTGTTTTGGGATATAAAGGGTTGATGCCACAAAATAAAAAAACGAAACCAAAGCTTACAAATTTCGATCTCTTGTTTCTTAGAACTTTGAATAGACTATCATTTGTTGTTTCTTGTGGTCTCTCAGCAGGCCCTTTGACTATTTGGGACCCCTCTGCTGTTTCGGGGCTTTTGTTTCATTCCTCCTTTCGTGACTTTTACTAACCCTGATGGTTTTGTTTGGTGCCTGTCAAATGTGTATGGGCCAAATGTTATTGGGGAAAAGGAGGAGTTTTTAACTTCCTTATCGTGTACTATTACTTCATGTGGGTTCCCTTGGTACAATGCCGGTGATTTCAACTTGGTAGGGACCCTCATGAAGTGTTATTCCTTGTGTTTTCAATCCCTATATGCTTCTTTTTGATAATTCATTAATTCTCATGGTTTGTTTGATTATAATCGGGTGGGCACTAAGTTCACTTGGTCGAATAATTCTAAGTTAGACAGGTTTTAAGTGACCGAGGGCTGCAATATCCGGTATCCCAAGACCGTGGTTAAGGCTGCTCCTCAGCTGGCTTCGGATTATGTCCCTATTATAATGGACTCTCATTGTTTGTTTGATTATGACTCTTAGTGCCCACCGACATTTCGTTTCAAACTTATGTGGTTGGAGGACAAATCCCTCTCCTCTCGAGTGAGAAATATATGGGATTATGTCTGTATCTCTAGATGACTTGGGTATGTTTTTACCAATAAACTTAAGGGCCTTGAATTCAAGCTTAAAGATTGGGGTAAGAGGAATTTTGGTGATCTTGCAGGTAAAATACTAGTACTGGAAAGAGAGATCTTGCAGTTGAATGCCTTGGAGCAATCGATAGTGACACTATCGCCAGTCCAAATCTCTGAGAGGAATGCAAAGATGTATGACCTGGATCATTTGCTCAAGATAGATGAGTTTTTTTGGTTTCAAAGATCAAGATCCAGATGAAACAAGGGATATGAATACCAAATATTTCCATGTCATTGCTAACTCTAGGTATTGGTCAAACTATATCAGTGGTTTGTCTATCACTGGTGTTGACATGGACAACCAAGAAGCAGTGGAGGCGGCCATTGTTGACCACTTTCAGTTGGCTTTAGCCTCGAAGTGAATACCTTTTGATATGAACTGTGTACCTTTCAAGACGCTATCCCCCTCTTCAGTGGCCAAATCTTGAGCTACCTTTTACTATTGATGAGGTTAAAAATGTTGTCTTTGATCTTTTGAGGGATACGATGTCTGAACCTAACGGCTTTTCTCTAGCCTTCTTTCAAGAATTTTGGGATGTCGTCCATGCTGACATTATGGCTTGAGCTTCGATATGTGACTCGGCATCTGGAGATTAAACGCTATCAATGAATCGCTGTTTATCAAATGGTGGTGGAGGTTTGCGAAAAATAGGGATCAACTTTGAGCAAGGGGTCATCCTCGGCAAATATGGCTGGGTGATGGAGTCCAAACAAGCTTTTGGCATGCTAAATAGATGGGTGACTATCTATTTAAACTCCTTTATCCTGACCTTTATAATAGATCAACGCAGAAACAGGAGATGCTTTCTAATATGATATCCCTTTCTGGGGATCAACCCGTTTGGAACGTCAAGATCAATACTCGGATGGTTAATGCTTCTATTGTTGAACAGTTCGAGACCTTTTTGACGTCGTTGTATGCCTTCTGCTTCTATCCTAGGAAACCAGATAGGATCATTTGGCCCCTAAAACTGGGTGGTGTGTTCTCGGCCTTGTCTTTGTTCAATGCGATCAATAGGTACCGCTATATCGAGGATAGGCCTTCGACAAGTAAGTTCTTGAGCTGTAAAGTTCCTCACTGAGTCAAAACCTTTTTATGGTTGCTAAATTTAAAGCGACTCCTTACCATTGATCGCCTGAGGACGATGGGGTTGATCCTTGCCAATGTCTATGTGTTATGCAAAAACAACAAGTAATCAATTGACCATCTCTTCATTCACTGCCCTTTATCTCAGCCTTGTGGGATTGGTTATTAGGCTCTGCCAATTGGATTGACCCAATACATACAGAGACACATGCTTGGATGCAACAATTGTGGACTCCTCCTTTCTCTGCCTTGGGAGTTAAGATTTGGAGCATTTATGCTGCAGTAGTCTTATAAAACATGTAGAGGGAGCAGAATTTGAGAACGTTTAAAGGTCGCAACAGAGACTAGCATTCTTTCCTCGAAGCTGTTCAACACTCTATTGCTACTTGGACATATTCCTTCCTCCCCCTTAAAGTTGTTCCCAGGGACACACTCTTCACTCATTACTCACAGCTTATGCTATTTAGACCTAATTGTCCTACCAAGCGTTTTGTCCGAAAAACGCCTCCTGTCGAATGGGTAAGGCACTCATTGCTTCAATAGCAATGTGAAGGGTCTTGTTGCAGGCTATAGGGGCCTCATTTGAGATCATTTGGGCTCAATTACATAGACGTACTAAGGAAGGCTGCACTGGTATGAGGTTAATGCAGCTGAACTTTAGGCCTGGTAAAAAGGTGTGGCTCTTTTGGACCCCTTAGCTTCAAAGGGCGATCATCCAGGGAGACTTTGCAAATGTCATCTTGTGGTGTACTTGCCCGGACTCTAACCCTTGGAGGCTGAGTGGCTTAACGGACGAAATTCTTCTCTCGCCGATTCTGTTTGAGACCACAATTTCTCATGTTGTTCGTGGTTTAACTCTACAACGGGTTTTTTTGGCAAATGAGGCTACCTTTTGACTTAGTTTTCTCTCTCTTTTCTTCTCTCATCTCTCTCCCTCTCCTCTTTCTCTTTATTTATTTGTTTCTTTTTTTTCTGCTTTTGTTCTCCGTGTAATCTTTTATTATCTTAATGAAGCTCGCATCTTTCAAGAAAGAGAGAGAGAGAACACATTAGGGTTTTAAAAATCGTGTATGAAATGGGTAACCAACCAGGTATCTGAATAATCCCATCCTTGGGAATACTTCAAAAGAATGCAACAAATTCATGCAAAATAAATCTTCTGAGCAGACAATAATAAGCTTGAACACCATCATAAAATCTAACAGGGAGGGGGAGCGGGATTGCGTTCTGGGTCTCGTGATAGTGGATAGATAGAGTTGGGTTTTGGGTTGAGGGACATAGAGTATAGGTGGCAGTTGACAGAGATGGAGCCAATGGCGCGGAATTGCGAGGAGGTTGCCATGGGGGAAGAGAGGGGACTTCACAATCGTCTGGTGGGTCATCATCGAAGACAGAAAGAGAGGGAGGGGCAGGTAGAGAAAGAATGAAAGGGGCAGGTAGAGAAAGAGAGAGGGCAGGTACAGAGAAAAAGAGAGAAAAAAAAAAAGTGGGTTTCATATATATATATATATATAGAGGGGTCTAAAGGGAGCTGCCTAATAATATGACCAGAAATTGCGGGGCCAGTTTTGTCTTAAATTTTTTTATTTTTTTGTCAGGGGGTTAAATATAAGATAACATAGTATTGGGATCTATGGTGAAACTCTCAAAGTTTTAGAGGTTAAGATGAATAGAAAGTTGTTTTTGAGGTATCTATAATTTTTTCAATAAAAAACAAAGATATAAAAATAAAGTAATGATCCTATGAGATCCTCTCGCATCTATGTGTATAGGACCTCAAATGATCACCATTAAATTTGGCACAAATCTCTAGAAAAATTATCACATGGTTGTGGGATTTGATTTTTCTGGAGATCTTTGTCAAATTTAATGGTAATCATTTGGGATCCTACACACAAGAGTGTGAGAGGGTCTCATACGATCATTACTCATAAAAATATTATCTAATTTGTTTATTATTTTGTTTTATTTTTTACATATTAATGCTCCCTATGATAGAAATTATATTTTCCCAAAAAATGGGTCTAAAATCCATCTAAAATATGGATCATAGAAAGTGCACATATCTTCTACATATCAATCAATGGAGCTCATAAAAACTACGTTTTTTTATTTATATATCTTATTTTAGTAAAAAAATCATTTACTTTTAGTATAAGGAGATCACAATCACTCTTGTCTATCAGAATTTAAATCAGGTGGTTGACTGGACTCAAAGCTCCAATGAGCCGTTGGAGGCGGGTCGGGTCTGTCCTAGCCTAGGCTTGACCTTGATCGGCTCTAACCATATTAGGGCCAACATGCTAGATAAAAAATAAATAAATCAAAAGGAAAAATAAAAAAAAAGAGGGTCGAGTTGGGCCAAGTTGAACCGAGCCAGCCCTGTTATGGGCCTAGCCTGGCCTAGTCCTCAAGTACTGGTGGTTGTCTGAACTTGGCCTAGCCCTT